CCTCACTAAACGTAAGTTAATACTCTACGGTAAAATCCAATTTATTTTCTTAATTTGTGTGAAGTCAAACTGTAAAGTTTATTTAAGACCGGAGGAAGTAGAAAAAATGACAAAAATAAGACTTGGGAGTTTTGAGTGGACAAAAATAAGATCATTTTTGGGTAGGACAAAAAAGAGACATGGTAATCTATGGCTAACTTACGGACCAAAGAGACCCGTGAACCGAAACAAACTAAATGGACCTACTCCATCGTCATTCAGACTGTCGCCGCAACTGTTGAGCAATTGTGCCACCATCGTCATTGAGAAACAATGTTGTCATCGTTGCTTCCCTTTTCGTCGCACCATGCTCAGACGTTGCAGATTTGTCATCTTCTTTATCGCAAAGTCTGGAGCATCCACAATGATCGACCATCAGAGATAGGTGATGATGACTTGCGACTAGGGATTGCTAGATTGTGACGCGCGACCATTGGAGATCTAGGACGAGGACAACGAACGATGACAAGACGACCCAGATCCAACGTTTGCGGCGACTAGGGTGGGAGCTAAAGGGGGTTGTCAAAGGTGTTAGGGATGGGGCTAGTGCAGGGGAGGGGGCTAGGGTAGGGAGGAGATGGGGCAGAGGAGGGGAGGGGGCTGGTGCAAGGGAGGGGGCAGGGACAAGGCGTAGGTGCAGGGCGGCGGCTAGGCGATCGACACTAGGCTGGGCGGTGGGTCAGGGAGGGGGGGGGGGGCAACGGTGGCCGAATTGGTCGAATTGGTCATGGTCACTTGTTGGGTTGGTCACAGGTCGACTTGGTCATGGTAACTGGTCGGTTGGTCACCAGTCGAATTGGTCACAGTCGTTAGTTGGGTTGGTCACGATCGTTGGTCGGGTTGGTCATTTGTTGGATTGGTCATGGTCGTTGATCGGGTTGGTCACTAGTCGGATTGCTCATAGTTGTTGGTCAAGTTGGTCACTGGTCGGATTGGTCACGGTTGTTGGTCGAGTTGGTCACTAGTGAGATTGATCACGGTCACTGGTTGAATTGGTCATGGTCACTTGTTGGATTGATCACTGGTCATATTGGTCACCGGTCAGGTTGGTCAATGGCCGCATTAGTCATGGTCAATAGTAGTACTTTAGTCTCATTTTTGGATTTTTTTAAAAAAGTGATCCTATATGTGTCTTAAGCATTTGTTTTTGTATTATTTATGGACAAACCCCAAGAGATATGCAATTAGTGTTTTACATTACATAAAGGGCATGTAAGTGTCCTTTAGATGATATTTTTATATTAGAGTAAATGCCTCTCAGTAGCCACAAAAATGTCTGATGGGATAGAAATGATTAGATGATTAAATGAGTACATCGTTTTCAAACAAGATTTGAGTTTAATATTTAATATATACCTCGTTGAGATAAAAATTAGTTGTGTAGAGTTATTGATCAAACTTGATATGTTTGTGTGTAACTTGTAGAGTTATAGACTATTGATAGAGAAAAAAAGGAAAGGAAATGCAAAATTAAAATGGAAGTGATTGTATAAATAATCTAGTATGATCTAGTTTAGTCAGATCAATATGTTAAATGTGGTCTGGTCTGATAGATATGTAGTATATGTTCTATGTGTATTTTACAACTATCAAAATTTAATTTGAAGTTATCTGACATGTTTAAATTTGGTCTGATCTCAGACCAAAACGAGTTTACTTAAGAACATCCCAAATTTTATTAAGTATTTTCGTCACAACTATTAATAGTATACTCCAAAATAGGGCTTCTTACAACTAAGACATTATAATTACTTTTGGGGAAATATTTGTACAACTAATTTTTTCTGGACTCCCAAATTCCAATACTTGAATCAAAAGAAGTAATTAAAACTCTTTTAGGCCCCACTTTTATTTAAATGCAATTAAATACATACGTAATCCGAATACTCCGTATTAGTGAATCCGGAAAAATGCCTGACTTGTTTATGAATTATGACCACAGTACACGCAGATAATCCAATCCCTATACGACAAAGAATGTGACACACAGTCAACAGTAACTCCATTTGAATCAATTCAATCATCCCCACGCTAGCACACTTCATGGCTACTGATCTGAATAAGGAGAATCTACTCTCCATTTTCGTCTCCATTGTTGGCACTCTAATCATACTCAAATGTGCAGCTCAAGAAAGAAATCAGAATGGTGTGGGAGCTTTTACGGTTGAGCTCCTGCACAGAGACTCACCATCTTCACCTCTCTACGACCCTCGTCTTTCTCAATGGCATCACATTCACTCCGCGTTTAAGAACTCATTAGCCCGCCGCCTTGATGTGGAAGAGGACTCTTCGATTAGAGTCCTCCCAGATCCTAAGGCAGGCACTTATCTCGTCAGACTGTCTGTGGGAGCCGCGCCCGCCGTCAACCTGGCTGTTGCGGACACCGGCAACGATATGATATGGATGCAATGCCGGCACCCTTGCGATCGCATTCACTGTTCCGGTGATCAACACAATGAATCTCCCAGTTTTAATCCCAACGCTTCGGTAACTTACAAACCCGTGCACTGTCAGTCCCAGGAATGCTCCGGCCTTCCCGGTAGCCGGTGTGCCCGGGCGAATAACACGTGCCTCTACTCTGCCAGGTGAAGAGTAGTTCCTTCGTTCTTAAATAGGTGTAACACGCTAGAATTTTACATTAATCACATGTTATACTTTGATTATGCTTTATTTATTAATATATTAATTTTTTTTTAAAAATCATTTTTAAATTTGTCTCATTGTAAATTTTTAAAAATCCATTTTTTAATTTTTTTTACTAATAAATAATTATATACTCTGTATATTAAGGTCAAAGTTGTGCAGCAAACGTGAAAGGTTGACTGTTGTACTAGAAGTATTTATTTTGTAGACACTCCTTACATTTTTTTAAAGAATACAAAGTATAAATACTTTTCAACTCTTTCATTTCCTATTTATATCTACACATATAAATGATTTTATTCGTTTAATACGAATACTATCGATCGTACTAGCTAGACGAATTAGCCGTGCATTTCACGGGAATTTTGTCTTAGAGTAATGGTGCAATACATATTAAAATAATAATGAAAACTAAGTTAATTATACGGAGTACAATATATCTAAAACCTCATTATTATTCCACGTATTATGTTTTGGGAAAACTGTCAAATAGGTCCTCGAACTTTCATAAAAAGGTCAATTAAGTTCTTCTATAGGAGGTTCTGTACGGCCGTCGCGATTTGGGGCAGTTCCCGGTGGAATTTTTTGATGATTTTTTTTAAGCATCTTATTCTTCAAGTCTAGTTTACTCATAACAAATTTCAGATAAAAATATAATCGGGAACACATTCAAATTAATTCTTGAAGATAAGCGCGCATTTTTGCGTTCTCGAATTAATTTGAATGCACTCCCGATTAATTTTTTGGCTGAAATTTAGTATGAGTAAACTACACTTGATGAATAAGATGCTCAAAAAATTTCATCAAAAAATTCCACCGGGAACCGCCCCAAATTGAGACGACCGGACAGAGTCTCCTATAGAAAGACTTAATTGATTTTTTTTATGAAAGTTCGAGGACCTATTTGACAGTTTTCCCTTATGTTTTAGACAGCGTCAATTCAAATATGCTGAATTACTACTAACATTAGATTAGGCTTTTTGACATGAAACTATTATTCATAGGGCACCATTTTTTAACTCATCATATTGTTCATTTGTTCATAACAATTAAATATGATAAATATAAAACCATCATGGGCCTTTTTCCTAAATACGATTATCGTAAGAGATATTTTGACATTGCACCTCGCTTTTTGGGTGATATTGGATTTTGCACCCTATTTTCAAAACTCTTAGACTTTGCACCATATTTCACCTAAAATGGCTTTGCCTTTGCACCCCATTAATAAATTTTTCTTCACAAAATGATGTAGATAGGGTGCAAAGTCTAAAAGTTTTGAAAATGAGGTGCAAAGTCCAATATCACCCAAAAAGTGGGGTGAAAACTCAAAATTCCCCTTATCGTAATCTTCTTAGTTTTTATGTGGAAATGCTAAATGATAATTATCAAGCTATTGTATTAAGCGGAAAAAATTTCAATGTAATTTTATATATCTGTAATCGATATTTAATATTCATTTATAAATAACATACATGATTTAAAAATATTGTTATATACGTAGTATGTTCTAACCAAACGTGTGGCTAGTTCTTAGGATTTATATTTAATATTTCTATTTTCATTAAATAATACTCCATATGTTATTTAAAATTGGAAGAAATTGGAATTTTATCAATCCAGAACCTGAAAGATAGATGAATTATCAATCCGGAATATAAAAGATGAAATGTATCGATATAAGACCTGAATGATGAAAAATTATCATTATAGTACCTGAATGATTTAAAATTATCGATCTAGGGCCTAAGTTGTCATGAATTTTATTAATTTTTTTATTTTGAAAATTTTATATATCATTTAGTTTTAATAAACTAATAAAGTTTTGTAAAGACAAGTTTATCAAAAACTAGCAATGGAATTAATAAAAAATCAAATGAATCAAAACCTATGAAATGTTAGGTCCTAAATTGATAGTTTTCCATCATTCAGGTCTTATACCGATACATATCATCTTTCAGGTTCCGGATTGATAATTCATCTATCTTTCATGGATTGATAATTCATCTATCTTTCGGGTCCTGAATTAGCACCACTTTGTGTGCAGTGTGAATGGATACTTGCACAGTTGCACACACACAAATCATTATTATTCAATTATAAAAATGGCAACTTCAATAAAGACTTGAATTATACGTAGTATCACTTTGTGTGGGCAGGAAGATTGTTTCTTATCAGGTTCTAATCATATTAGCTAGTTTTTTTTTTAATATAAAGATAAAGATGACTTATATACTTGATTCTATTCGCAAACTTTAATTAGTTTATTGCAGTTGAACCTTCAAATTAGAAAAAAACTTTAGTCGATCTATTTGTTTCTTCCAATAGGCTCTCCTAATCATATTATCAGAACCTCAACCTTCTTCATATAAATATTGTGTTAATCAATTATGTAGAACGTATATTGTATGCTCTTCTTTACGTTCATTCAAATTCACACGATAGGTACAACGATGGGACACACTTACATTAGACTTGGCTACCGAGATGTTCAACTTCCAAACCGGAGACCTCACAGGAAGACGACATAACGTGTCCTTCCCAGATATCATTTTTGGGTGCGGCCACATGAATCACTTCGCGGATAATGATACCCGCATCTCCGGGATTGTTGGCCTCGGCTCATCTCGCTATTCACTTATTAATCAAATTGGTGGCAACCGATTTTCATACTGCTTGGTTCCCTTGTCACATTTGAACGTGTCGAGTAAGTTGCAATTCGGAAGCCATCCCGCCACAGTGGTTCGTGGCCTGCCCGAGGTGGTTTCCACCCCGCTCATTTTGAAACCTCCGAGGATTTTCTATTACCTGACTTTACTAGGAATATCAGTCGGAAACCAAACTGTGGTACCAACAACAGGCGGTAATCAGCAGCAGCACAAAGGCAACATCTACATCGATTCAGGGACGACATTTAGCTTCCTGCCAACGGATTTGTATTTGGGTCTGGAAGAAACAGTGAAGAGCTCCATAGGGCAGGAACCTATGAGGCCAGACCCCAAGAGGAGGTTCCTGAGGTTGTGTTACCAAGGTTTGCGACCCGAGGATGTTCCGGTAATAACGGCCCGGTTTGAAGGCGGTGATCTGAAGTTGAATCCAGTTAACAGTTTTGTGAACGTTGGGGATGGAATTGGGTGTCTGGCTTTTGCCCCTACTAAGGGTGTCCCAATTTTTGGGAATGTGGCGCACACAAATTTCTTGGTGGAATATGATTTGGAGAAGATGGTTGTATCCTTCATGCCTACTGATTGTGCCAAATGGAAGTATTAAGATGCTAGCGCATTCACTGGGACCAAAAAGCTATGATTGAAATGAAACGCTCTGTAATGATCTATCTCAAATGATTTGCAGGTTCACTTTTATTAGTAAATAAATGAGGGCTCGTTCGGTATGGTTTTGAGTTTTCTATTTTTGGTTTTTAAAAAACAAAAAACTGTTTTTAGTTGTCTATTCTCAGTTTTTTGAAATCGTTTTGTTTTAGTGCTAATTCATTTTCAATTTTGTCATTCCAAGAAATAAATACGGAGTAATTATTTTCGTAGTCCATGATAGTCTGGTGGTTCGGTGGTGGACTGGTGGTCCGGTGGTGGCCGGTAGTGGTCCGGTGGTGGTCCGATGGTGGTTCGGTGGTGGTTCGATGGTGGTCCGGTTGTGGCCGGTGGTGGTCCGGTGGTGGTCCGATGGTGGTCCGATGGTGGCCGGTGGTGGTCCGGTGGTGGTCGGTGGTGGTCCGGTGGTGGTCCAGTGGTGGCTGGTGGTGGTCCGGTGGTGGCCGGTGGTGGTCAGGTGGTGGTCCGGTGGTGGTCCGTTGGTGGCCGTTGGTGGTCGGTGGTGGTCCGGTGGTGGCTGGTGGTGTCCGGTGGTGGTCCGGTGGTGGCCGGTGGTGGTTCGGTGGTGGCCGGTTGTGTCCCGGTAGTTGGATATTGAAGATAAATTATAACAAATTTATAGAAACTATGTTTTGTTGATTTCAGAAATATGTTTTCGTTTTCTAAAAACACTTACAAAGATTATGATTTTGAAAAGAAAAATAACTTTTTACCAAACATGTTTCTGTTTTTTTTCTAAGAAAAAAAACAGAAACCGAAAAACAGATTATGCCTTGTACTATAGAATATGCATTTCACCGTATCATTCATTCATCACCAAAAGGTCAGTTCAATCTCGTTACAATATATACTCTCTAATCGATTCCACCGGAGAGCAGGGCATGATACTGATGATTGTGTCATTCTCCGACGACAAATTGAAGAACTCATCCAAGAAAGGTACCTGGGCCAATTTGTTGGCAAACCAGGAAACATTCCGCAGAAGAGGAGCCCGACATGGCAGCGTTCCGACCAAGCTACCACGTCGAGGGAAAAACAGCCCGTCAAGAAGCGGGAGCTTGGCGTCCTCTCCGAGGAAGACGATGCCGACCAGGGGGACGGCTCCCGTAAGCACCATCGATGTTCGTACATATACGGGGTACCCCAGGGAGGTGACACCTCTGGAGAACGGAAGTAGTGGGCCCGCGACCTATATGTCGGGGAGATAACCAGAACTCCTGCCGACAAGAGGGTGAAGCGGGATCCCATTTTCTTCACCGACGCAGATTTGACACCGATGCCTCCACCGCACAGGGATGCCTTGGTGATCAAGGTCGAAATCAACAACACGATCGTCCACCGAGTCCTGGTGGATAATCAGAGTTCCGTTAACATCATGTACTATGACACTTTCCAGGGTCTCGGCTTGGACCGAAAGGACTTGATCCCGGTGAGAACCCCACTCTCGGGCTTCACCGGGGACTCCATTGAGTCGGAGGGCAGCATAGTCCTCCCCGTGATGGTGGGCTCCGAGCCCTGCGTATCCAGGTTAGATGTCGAGTTTATCGTCGTACGCTTAACTTGTGCGCATAAGATCATCATGGGAAGGCTGGCCCTGGAAGACCTCAGATGTGTGACGACCCAGGAGCACCTATGCATGAAGTTTCCCGCTCCGAATGGCGTCAGAGTTGCCAGGGGAGACCAGCGGATGACGAGGAGCTGCTTTCTGAAAGCTTGCAAACAAACCGATCAAAAAGATTTGAGGGTCCACACTATCAAAAACAAAGCCGTGAAGTATGAGGAGGGTCAGCTCCGAGCTGAACCCACCTCAGAAGTGGAGGAAATCCAAATCGACCCCGAGAGGCCGGAGCGGAAGGTCAAGATCGGGACCGGGCTCTGTGCCGGCTTGAGGGAGAAGATCATCCAGGTCCTTGTCCTTTTTAGCGTTGTCTTTGCATGGGGACCGGAGGACATGCCCGACCTCGATCGAAGCATCCCTGTCCATCGGCTGGCAGTCGACCCAACAGCGAAGCTCGTCCAACAGAAAAGAAGACACCTCTCAAGCCGGCCAATGGACAACGATGCTTCGATCGAGGCCGGACATGTCCTCCGGTCCTCATGCAAAGACAACTCTAAAAAGGACAAGGACCTGGATGATCTTCTCCCTCAAGCCGGTCGAGAGCCCGGTCCTGATCTTGACCTTCCACTCCGGCCTTTCGGGGTCGATTTGGATTTCCTCCACTTCTGAGGTGGGTTCAGCTCGGAGCTGACCCTCCTCATACTTCACGGCTTTGTTGTTGATAGTGTAGACCCTCAAGTCTTTTTGACCGATTTGTTTGCAAGCTTTCCGATAGTAGCAAAAGGGAGCGGGAACTCTCTAAGAAAATTGGTTAAAGTTGACAAGACTCGATCTGAAAATTCGTGGAGGGCATATATGAAAATTAAAAATTGCTTGGATATAGACAAACTCACTAATTCTGGTGTTGCTTGTAGTCTCATTGGTTGTGCATATCACATCCTTAAGAGTTTCAAAAGAGAGAAGATAAATTAGTTAAATTGTATGGTATGTGGCTAAGAGCAGGGGTTGCAAAAGGAGCAGGCGCCGGTAAATGAGCGACAAAGGGTGGAGAGAAAGTTGAGAATCAATTTCAAGATAGCGAGCGAGGTTGGAACTCGGGATTGAGACTCTTCTATTGTTGTCCAAGCCCAAATGAGGCAATTGTACGTGGAAAGATCAAATAAAAGAAGATTGAATGGCTAGGGATATGATTTTGGACAAGCCAAAAAACGAGAAATGGACGGGTCCTGGATTTTATACCCGCCTAATTTTTTACAATTATTTTGTTTTATGCCTTTTTTTGCTTGATCTTAGGTAGGCCTACCGGCAAAAGATCACGTACGAAGTGTGGAGCTAGAGGCTAGAACAGATCTGGATTCGAGGTCATCTGTGATAGGTGACAACAGAGGAGACTTGATATAGAACATGATGAATAAGAGACGAGGTGAGGAAGAAGCTAAAGTACTCTTGGATCGTCCCCTCCTGGACCGCCGTCATAGAGTGCAGGAGAGTCTAGAGTTTGGAAGCATATTTTTAATTTTACTGTTTTTTTGCGATTTATTTTTCATGATCAGACTGCTTATTTTTTTGTTGATTACTTTTATTATTATAAGGCTCTTTCATTAGGATTGGGTGATGGGAGAGTGGGAGACATGCTTTAATCATCATTGACTCTTTTATGCCAATTATAGGATCAACGAGTTATATTGCTTTTTGAAAGCGGTTGACTATAAGCCTGGTTCAAGGGCCGTCGGTTGTATGTAGTCCTTTTGTAGTTGTATGTAGGGGTGGGCATAAAACCCGAACCGAACCGGTACCGAACCGTTCCGTAATGGTACCGAACCGAATATCAGGTATTTAAGTGGTACTATAGATTTTTATCCCGTACCGAAACCGTGCCGTTTGAAACGAGTATGTGACCGGTCCTAGATTTTGAGAACCGAAAAATACCGGACAGAACCCTTCGAAAATAATGCATTTGAATTTTTTATATTTTTCTATACCAATAGATCTCTTTTATAGACCAACAATTTTATAGCCCAAGTATGTGTATATTCATGTGTCCCTAAGATATCTAAATGTGTGTGATGGAGTATATGGCCCGGGAACCCCCGGCCCACAGACTCCTACTACACCAATAAAGGCCCAACCGGCCCAGGAAGCACAGCAGGCCCAAATTACGGCGCCCCCAAGCACTTAGCAGCCCACAGCGCGCACTGGGGAGCCTTCGGCCCCTGGCCGAAGGCTCGGAACTCTCACAAAACGAGTTTTACAAGCAAACTAAGAAACTGGGAGAAAAACGGCAGAAAAGAGTAGCCCTCGGCACCTGGAGCCCTCGGCACCTGGAGCCCTCGGCACCCAGGGGGTCCCCGACACTCGGAGCCCTCGGCTAGTCCTCTGCAGCCGAGGGCACCTCTCCCGACATGATATCTGCACCACATGCGTACAGATCGCCGTACCCTGTACAAACGTCCCATCCAACAGCCGCATTAAATACGGCCACATGCGGCTGCCAGCGCCAACCAGTTGAGGTGACCTCTCGGCCAATGGGCGCTTGACACGTGTCCCTGTCCGGCATTTATTGCTGCTATAAATAGCACCCCATTTCCCCATTTGTAACCACGCTGAAAACGCTCCACACTTTATAATATACTTTCTCTCTCTATATTTACTTGCTCTGACTTCTCTCTTATTACTCCCCGTAATAACCTCTCGGATAAGCTACCCCCCAGGTACACTATCCATCATTTGGTGCTCTCGTTGAGAGGTCGAACGATCAAGTAAGAAACCCTCCCCCTTCACCAAACACTAGCCCTCTACCAAAATGGTGAGAACAACACGTGCCAACTCCAAAAACGTAGAAGACAAGAACCTGGCCCTCGGCGACGTCAACGTCCCCGAAGCCTCTCACAGGGCTCCCGAGGGCGGTGTCATCGCTGGGCTGGAACAGGCGGCTGTCGACCTACGCCTTCAGATCCATCAAAATGCCCCCGATGCCCGCCTCGGCATCGAGGCCAAGAAGAAAAACCGGAGCGATGACCAAGTCAGCCCTCCAGTCCTCACCATCGACGTTCATTCGGCGCTCTCCACCTTCATCCAGACGCTAACTCAGAACCCGGGTGCCTTCGGCACCCTGGATCCGGCTCCACCTCAGGTTGGGGAGAACATCATGCTTCCCCCTCTGCCACACCCCTTCGGAAATCCCATCCCTCGGATTGGGAATGACGAAGGGGTAGTGGCCCAAGATACGGCCTCCCAGGAAGTTCAGTCCCGGGACCGCCACAATGACAACAGAGAAAGGCCTTGCACTTCCGCCCTCAACCGGCTCGGAGGGGGGAAAGATCGCCGAGGGGTCCAAGACCGCCTCGGAGGAAAGGCATTCCAGAGGCCCCAGGAGAGCGGAGGGTCTGTCTCGAGGGCAGACGAGGAGCGTCCTCCTCGGGACAAAGGCAAGGCACCCCTTCATGCCGACGATGCTCGCCACCAAATCAACCAGGCCCACTCGGCCAGGTTCGTTC